TTTTTAATCCTCCTAATAAAAACATATTCCTGGTTTATTAAACTTGCTTTGTAGTGAGGCTTCCATCACCACTGGAGCTCTGTGCAGTAACACTAACATGAGGTGACACTGGAGTCATCAGCCCAGCTTATCCACAGGGTCTGTGAGGGGAGTGAATGTCTCCTATCGGCACTCACCACAGTCATGTAGTGCAGCATGCGACCGTCCACTCTTCCCTCATCAAACTGGGTCTTATACTGAGGCAGGCCGATGTCATCCAGCCATCCTGAGAAGAGCAAAGAAAATTACATGAATTATTAACTCGAGTAGAACATCAACTAAAACATCACAAACATAAAAAACAGACCAGCAGACTCATATCTTCGACTAGCAGCTGGTACTTACTTGTCACCCAGTTGTAGTCCAGCTTTCCCTTATTGTCCTCCTCTTCTGAGCCGAGGGCCTGAAGAGCCAGCTGGAGCTTCTTTCTGTGCAGCGGCTGTTTGATGCCCAGCTCCTAAACATCCACAAGTTTGGATTAAACACACAACATTCCCCAGTTACTACACAGGAAGTTCAGGGCAGGAATGCTTTTCTTCCAGTGTTGGTAAATTTATTAAATTCTTCTGCTTCATCGCACCCTCTCCAGGTCCAGCTGCGAGGCCTGTAGCAGCGTCTGTCCAGAGGAGATCCACACGCGAGCCATGTTTACATAAAGACCAAGACCCTGCTCCTGCAGCCAATCGCACACCTGATCCTTCGGCCAGCGTGCAAAGGGAGCGTCTACGTCACTAAACAAGAAAAGAGAAGAGTCAACAATGAAATAGGCATGCAGACACGCCCCTGTGGACGTAGATCACTTGTAGTACATGCACTTGTTACATCTTTATTATTCAAACAAACACTACATTTCACTGTACAACACAGATTCAAAACAAGGAAACCACATTGTGACTTTCATTATTCATGCTGAATGCACTGACTCACTTGTTGACTCTTTGAAGGTCACGAGACCAACCCAGTCTGGGTCCTGCTGTGGCACGCACTCCTCCTCGCTTGAACTCACCCTCTGGTAGATTGTCATCCAAGTTAAATGTGGTAGACTGGCTCCTTTTTAACCTGAACAATAAAACATTAAAGTTAAATACTTAAAAAAAAGAACAGTCAGAGGGAGGATGTTTACAGGTTTTCTACTCACTTCCCAAAGAGCTTTTTTATTCCTTTGGATTTTTTTCTGCTTTCTGGAGTAGTGGGGAGCGTGTGTGTGCTGTCGCTGTTGTTCGACCTCTGCGGCAGCCCTGCCAGATCGAGATGGTCCGTACCCTGTCGTTCTGTTTCAGCTGTGCAAACAAATGCCAGCAGATCAGCATCAGCATCATGAGGATAAGGCAGACAGAGCTGCTGCACAGGGGTCAGTGCAAAGAGCCAGAAAACACTGAGACAGGCACATGACGACTCCTGAGAGGTCACTGTGAGCAAAGCGATACGCTCTCTAGAATGGCATGCATGCAGACACTGTTCACTGCCTGAGAAAAGGATTGTTACTTTGTTTTAGATTTAGTTGGAAGGTCTTTGAGAGCCGTTTAAATTATTTTATCGAATAACCTGGATCTCAGCACAGCTTTGTGCTCGGGGAAAGCTTTAAAAGAAACAAAGGAGTGTAGGCAAAAACATGCAGGAACATGGCAAAATCTACGTACACTACAGCACACTCAACATACACAGGTACAGAAGTTTGTGCAACAAAGAACAGAGACAAAGTACTGCAGCTATTAAACTAAAAGAAGATGTCAGCTGAATGGATGAGATCAGAAATTGCAGAAAGAAATACTCAGCAGTTTGCTTTCTCTGGACAACAAGCGCAACTCTACCGTGACTTGTGATCTATACTGTACCTAGCATAGGCGCACTCGCACTCCTGCTGCGGTCTTCATGTGTTACAAAGAGCACAACACACAGGACAGGGTCCAACAGAAAAGAACAAGAGGCCAGAAATTATGAGTGAAATAATAACGGGATTGGGGAGATGGGATACAGATATACAAGTGTACAACACACACACACACAAAATATAAAAAGCACATAGACAGGACGAAGGACAAACACCAGCCAAGAAACACAGTTCCATAATTAAACTGGGACCACAGCCTGTGGGCTGTAAATTATGGTCTTGGTCCATATAGTTGTACTCCATGGGTGTGTCTTGGAGGGGGAGAAAAAAATGTGAAGAAACTCTCACCATGTAGTGGGTTAAAAGCTGAACAAAGCACATTTCCACTAACTCCATGATCTCAAATCATGCCGTTTGCACTCACCGAGGCTTGGGCTACTGGTCGTCTTCTTGCCTCCGCGGATCTTGAAGAAACCTTTTCCAAAAGACGACCGAGCCTTTCTCGAGCCAAAGGGATCGTCCTCTACGGTGGCAGGTAAGGTGGCTGAAGGATTTATGGGTGGCTTTTCACTGATGCTACCGATCTCCTCACTTGTCTTCTGAGAGTACAAAAACATCGCTTGTATACAGATTCTGTCATTTTAGAAAAACTAAAATGAAAGACAATTCAAATGTGAAAGAAAAAAAATGGGTAAGGCTGGAAAAAGCAGTTTGAGGTAAATTAATGCGAAAAAAAAAAATCACAATAGACAAAAATCAGTCTTCAGTTTTTAGCCAACGTCATTTCTGCCCATACCTGCTCACTTTTACTCCCATCCAGGTGATCCTGAGTCACAGTCTTTGTGTTCTCTTGACTGCTGAAAGCACAACGCAAATCACTTTAAACATTATACTTCACTTAGCAGTGCGAGTCTACAGGACATTATTAACCACACGTAGATACTTCCCGACACACCATCTGCAGGAAATGGACAAAACATGTGTCAGCCTGCTCACAAGGACTACAGCAGCATCTGTCAAGTGAATGGTTTAGTCGATCCTAATATGTTACGTCTTTATACTTCCGTACTAACAAGCATGCAAACATGCATTCACAATAAAATAAAATAAATAATACTAAGGAGATGACCAATCCTTAACAATAATCACACTCCCTTCTCCTTCCTTGAATGCACAATACCATGCCTTATACTTATTAAATGCTCCATTGTGTTCATTTTGCAGTGGAGTGTGACAGGAAATTAGATGAGAACAAGCACTCAGTGACACGTCAAACACGTGGTGCAACGCCACATGGACTGCCCCGGATAATTTAAACATATACGTGCATTAAACAGCATGCTTCACCGCTCTTACCACAATTTAGTGTAAATTTACACTTTATTTATAGCGTAAATTGCAGTGAGAGCTTCCAATACTCAGATTTTAATGTGAATTTATGTCATTCCTGGCAAGTTACAGCATTTTAATATAAATACAAGACACATGCAGGCAGAATGAGCACCATTTCACTGTGTTCGTCAGTGAAGAATATGAAAGAAATTCCACTAGGATTCATGGTTTGCCATGTTTGGATTTGCTGTTTGTTTGGTTCTTTGGCGTCTAGTGTTCTCCGGTTATTTGTTTTTTAAATTTGTAAATTAAAAATATTGTTAAAAGAAAAACAAAGTCATGTATAACACATAAAATCTTTACCTTTCTGCATCTGCCGGTTCAGATTCTGACATTCTCTCTGGATCAGACGGGCTGGGTGAAGGCGAGGGCTCTTCACTTAGTCCACTGGGGCTTTCCATCTGAGTCAGAAAGACAAAAGAAGATTTAAATGCATTAAAACTGTGACTTAAAAACTCTACAGAGTCCCTGAGAACAGTCTAAATCTGCATACAGAGATCTGACAAAAGATGTTATTCAACTAATTGGTTGTCCAGCTCTTCAACACTCATTTCCAAAGGAGTGAAATTAATGTGAAGTTTTTGTGAGAGTGTTTTACTGAGCACTTTAGAGTTTAATGATATGTGAAGTCGCTCCAGGGGAGGAAAAAGAGTAAAAGCAAAATTAAAAATATCTCATGTTCTCTGCTATTTAAATAGTGATACCATGGGTGCCAGTTTAGCTTAGTGGGTGAACAGGCAACCGCATGCCACATGACTGAGACGCACAGACCAAGTTTGAGACCGACCCGTGGCCCTTTGCTGCATCTCCTCTCCCTCTCCACAAACCTCATCTGGGCTTTTCCCTCTCAGTTGTTCAGCATCCGTGCCTTCTTGTTTTTC